GTAGGGAAACCATCCTTACAATATATACAGATCATATGTAATATAAATAATCTGTAGAATCAATAGATAATGCTTTAAAAATGACTACATGTGACCTTACATGTTTGAGTCTCTGTCGCTGTATATTATCAACTATATAAATTAACTTCACAAGTTTCACTTGTGTCTGCACTGATAAAGCAAGATAATTTATTTTATTTTCTTTTTATTTATTTACTTTCTTCAGTCTAAATATGTTTAAATTCCTCATATTCTTCAATCTCTTAACCTTTAGCAAAAGAGTTTTGAAACTCACTGGGTCTCTCACGAGAAGTGAAACACACTTGCTCTGTGTTGCAAGGCATGTGATTGGATGTTCACCACTGATGTTGCACATTCATGTGCACGTGCTCCACAAACTCAGGATCAAAGCCTGAGCTGACAAAAAAAGTTGATGATTAGCATCATGGTTCCAACAAATCCGGATTGGAGTGGTTTGGTTTTGTCAACTTGAAACTAATCCTGTAACTCTGACTTTGTTCAACTACCGTCATGGTACAGGCCCCAGTAGGTGTGTTGTGTTGTGTTGCTCGGAGATGCTCAATGATGCTGTTGTGGCTTTGACTGAAACAGTTTTAGATGGCTATATTATTATTAATCCATTACACACAAGCAATTTTAATTTAACAATCATTATAAAGCATTTATTTTAAATTAATATTAATATTGTAAGGTCAACAATTATCAAAGACTTCTGCTTTCCTGTCCCAAACCTATCTTCAGTAACAAAAGGGCCATTTGGCATTCCCGAAGGCACAGAAGGGCTGATATCGATCAAGGCCTGTAGGCCAACATGTGTATACATCGGGGGTCTGCTAATTCTTTAGCAAAAGAGTTTTGAAACTCACTGGGTCTCTCACGAGAAGTGAAACACACTTGCTCTGTGTTGCAAGGCATGTGATTGGATGTTCACCACTGATGTTGCACATTCATGTGCACGTGCTCCACAAACTCAGGATCAAAGCCTGAGCTGACAAAAAAAGTTGATGATTAGCATCATGGTTCCAACAAATCCGGATTGGAGTGGTTTGGTTTTGTCAACTTGAAACTAATCCTGTAACTCTGACTTTGTTCAACTACCGTCATGGTACAGGCCCCAGTAGGTGTGTTGTGTTGTGTTGCTCGGAGAT